GAGTGGTGTATGATGAGTGGTGTATGATGAGTGGTGTATGATGAGTGATGTATGATGAGTGGTGTATGATATATAAGTGGTGTCTGACAAGTGGTGTATGAACAGTGGTGTATGATGAGTGATGTATGATGAGTGGTGTATGATAAGTGGTGTATGAACAGTGGTGTATCATGAGTGGTGTATGAACAGTTCTTGAATCATTGAATGTCCGTAACACGGAAGTTTTGCACACTAAACTTCCTTTCCTTGGCAAGTTTCCTCTAGAACATGCGGGGTCTTGGGTATCCCAAAAAGGCATATGTGGCACATTGTACAGAGAACACCGGGTTTTCTATAGCATGGGCCCACCCAGTTACACCGATTCCCTAGAAAGTTGATTTGATGGTTTACAGAGTGGGATATAAACATGGGGATGTGTTGATTCATAGAGAATTGTTTTATCCTTTAATGCAAAAAAAATGTATGGTTTTGATGAGAACCCTGGAGTTTTATCCTATATATATATAGGGAGCCGATGATTTGTTCAAGTGTTTGTGTGTAGATGGTGGTTGTGGTTTTATAGATGTTGTTTTTTTTCTATAATTGTGGGGAATTTGATTATGTAGATGTCCATGTTTTGTAAGGCTTCCGGGACTCAACTCAAGAGGAAACAAATCGGATTGCAATGGTTTAGATACTGAAATGGGTTAATTAATTATGTAATGAAATTTATATCTAAGCTCGATGTTGGGGGCTTTGCAGTTGCTGCTTTTACCTGGCTGGGCACAGTGTGGTACTTCAGGGTAGTTCTGGGGGGGCCCTGTCAACCTGTGGGCCTGTGGGCCCTGATTCTATAGAGGTTTTTGTTGGGGCGAAGCGCGAACATTGCCAAACACGCGATGTATTTTGCCAGTCTTTTGGCACTTCAAAGGCGAAGGGCTTCGAATGTATGGAGGACCCCTTGGGACTTGTGGGAACTCCGTAGAATGGAGACCTTTTAACATGGAGAACAGGATTCTATAGAGTTGGAACCCAGGGGTTGCCGGGGTTGCCATTTTATCAAGTTGCATCCCTGGGATAGACTTTAAATGTTGAGGATCCTTCAATCCGTTCGGATTCGATTGGAAACGTTTTCGGTGAGCAAACCATCCGTGAACAAAACTCATCGGAGGACTTCATCAGGGTTTTCCTAAAGACGTCATTGGAGATGTCATCACAAAATTGAGCGAAGACCCCTCGGAGTCTCTTTTTTTCCAATGTAATTAGATGTAGACCTGGCGCCGTGAATTCTATAAGGAGTCGACTTGCTAGTCGTCATTTTTGGACAAGTGCCCTGCCATCCTGGAACCTCAATTCGAGAGAACATGGTTTTTGTTCATGTTTTTCTGACATTTGGACAAGGGGACCTTAGATCCATAGAGTTTGACCCCAGGGGCCGCCCTTCTATATATCTATTAGAGTCGTATCCCCAGGAATGTGCCTAAATTCAGAGGGGGATCGAAATATATAACAATGTGTTTTGAACTGCCCAAACTTTTGAGGCTGAGACAGGAACAAGAACTAGTGCCTCAGTTTTCAAAGATGAGCCGACAACCCCGCTTCAAAGCATACGGATTCATCAATGATGTCCCAAATACCTGCACAGCACGAAGTTGCAAAACGGTTCAATTTTTTTGTTTGAAAACAAAAACAACTAAATCTACACAATCCAAATCAAAACCTTGAAATTTTCCTTGCCAAAGTCATTTTGCTCCATACTCACACTAGTTTGATTCTCATGTAAACTACCTGTGTTCCTTACTGTACGTGTGCACTTGGGCCGTGCGCCGTGTTCTATGTGATCACCCACTATTCCCACATTCCCAAACAATCCTGCCAAGATTCCCACTTTTGGGAAGCCTGCTGAATATTGTAAGAAACTGCTACAGCTGCAAAAAAGAAACACCACACGCGGGGACCGAGGGGAGCCAAAACCACAACAGTGGTGACAGCGGTGATGGGGCAGAAAACCCAGAACCCAACTCGCCTGACCACCGCTCCGCAGCAAGCGCCTGCAAATCGCGGAGTAATCAAGCCGTTGGAATTGAACACCCAACATTTTGAGGTGTTGAAGGGTACTTATGCATTATTATAGTATAGATACATTGCTATATATATAATATTATATAATATATACAGCAGTATACATTTATAATAATATGGGCCAACTGCCCACCCGTAAGAGTTCCCCCTAGGACCTTCGGATACAAATTGACCTGGTTGGGGCTCGGAGAACACTAGGAGTTTGGCTGGTTTTTGGGGGTAAGTGACGTTCTTGGTGCAATCCTTTTCGTTCGGATAGTTTGACACCTCCATGGATCGTCTTCGTAAATGGGCGCTGGCTAAAATTAAAGTATGCGCACCCTCGCCCAACAGCCCAACCGATAAGGGTTCGAGTTTTGGCTGTGTGTGTAGGCCTTGCAAGAGCGAGTAAGTAGGATGGTCATCCAATGCACCCCCACCTTTCAGCATACTGCCAAGCAAGTTGGCATTCTGTCCTCAATAGAAGCACGAACACTTTAAAGTGTCCAACTGTAAAAAAGAGCTGATTTCGGCCCTGCCGGAACTCGTGACGGTATTTCAGCGATATGTATACGAATATATACTGTGATATAACTTAAACTGTTTCCCAAAAATGTTGAGATGGCTATGCCTACTTGATGAGGTTCTCGTCGTTGCTGGATCAGCGAACTGAGTGACGTGCAAGGTGTTTGATGAACTAGGAAAGTTGTGATAAGCTAAGCTAGCGGTGCGATGCAGGTTCTGTTTGTATGTAATTTACTATAATGTGTATGTATAATATATAAATACATACTTTGATTAGGTGACTTCCTACAGCAATGAGCATGTCATCAAAAGAGCACTATATACTTAGTATTGCTTTTGTGTGTGTGCATTTGTGTTCGTTATCAGGTTGTCGTGTCAACTTACTTTTGGATTGGTGGGATGCAGCTTGGCAAAGCATACAATGCAGTTGGAACCGTACAAGTCAATGACCTCATTTTACTGAGGTTTGGTCATACAAAAACACTACTCAAGGAGGTAAAGGACCAGGTTATACAGGGTTTTTGGACTTGTAGGGGAAGGAACGGTGTTTCTACATGGCAGGTGGATGTCCGCTTCAGGGCACAAAGGTACTTGTGTCCGGAGGGTGTAAAAGAGCTAGATAGAAGCATCTCGTTCTTCTTGAATGCTGTCACGATTGGATAGATTTTGCTTTGAGCTTATGCAAGGGCAAAGTATAGCTGGATGTTCTGAAGCGATACTGGCTTCAAGTTTTCAGCGTTGCTTTGTTGCTTCGAGGTACGTTTTGTTGGAGGACGTGACCAGAAGCCCCTTGGCTGCATGGCGAGTTATGTTTTTTTCTGCAGTCATTGTCAACTAAGGAGTTTTCCCTAGTTTCTGCCTTCCGAAGAATTTTGCGTTTTGTCGCCATCAAACAGACACACGAGACAGAGTAGATGATCACGAGCCAGTGATCTACAGTTTTGTGGCAGCCATCCAACTTGACCTTGTCATGCGACGAGCTAAACAAACCGTCAAAAGTTAGCTGAGATCGGATTTGCGATCGTGATTTGCACGTTTGGCTTGGGATCGCATTGTTTCAGCCCATCCTGAATGGTTTCTTGGATGCACAAATCGACGAAGACCCTGCGGATGAGCAACAGGAAGTCGATCAGGGCAGAGGGCTGGTAGTTGAGTTGTAGCTGACTGCCTTGGTTCCATTTCTTGCATTGCTGATTCATGCAGAGATTTTTTAGTAGGCCACAGTACTACAGCGTAGAACTTGTACTGTATATAATTACTGTAAATTATTGTCAGCATTTGGGGACGCCGACAATGTAAAGCTGACTTTGCCGACCGCAGCAGATTTGCTTCGTCGAACCTGCGTGCGGTGTAGCAATGGCATGATTCCACTTCGTTCTGTTGAAGAAGCCCAAAGGAGATACACTGGGCACCTGCTGTAGCTATGCTGCAACAAGTTGGTGGTAGCTGTCAGATGCGTGTGGATGAGACAACTAACTACAACCAGAGAGATTAGTCCAATCACTCACTGTTGAGTGTGCCGCGATACTTCTTGTTCAGAAAGCACAGGTCCCCGATAGGTGTTTGCCTCCGAGAAGCCATGACATGAGTCATTGGACCTTTCAACACCAAGGAGAACCATATTGATATAAGTTTGTGTGAGCTATGTTTATAGAGTGTTTAAACACAACAGGCCTCTATACAAAATGGTATTGATACAGAGAAGTCGTGCGCTATGTTTGAATGTGCTTGTGTGGATGCGAACCTGCAGTCTCGACTCCACACTAATTATCTCAGCAATTTCCAATTTCCAAGTTAGCTTCAAAGGGTGTGCCTTTGGTTGCGGCGGTGATGTTGTTTTGTTAATTGCCCCTGCTCAGGGAATGGGACAATGCTTGTCGCATGGGCATGGTAAAACTGGATGAGGGAATTCTTGGTGATGAAGAAGCAGAGCCTTTGTACGCAGACGCTTAGACTGGAAGATGTGCCAGGAGGATCCAGGAGGGAACTCAAGGTGTGTTGTTAGATACTGCGTTGGGTGTGAAATACTGGTTGTTTGCTACATCATGCACTGAGGAAGTCCTTGATCACGACTGCCGAAAGTATACATCTCTGACGATCGGGACGAGGCTGCAATTCAAACTGAGCACGATGCTTAGATTAGTGGATCGAACATGATCAATGATCGACATGTCTTTGTGGCTGGAGTTTGCCGTGCTCGCTCTTGAGGTTATGACCCCAAATACAAGTGCCTGCGGTGCAGCGACGTTGTCTCGCAAACATTCGAGGCCTGCCAGTTGCAAGATTTGATTTGCCTTGCTGACACCAAAGCTCGTCCATTGGTCTTATGCAGAATGCAGAGCAGCCCCACACATTCATGTTGACAGCAGAAGCCGATGCAGGACGAGTCATGGTTGACATCAACGCACAATGCAGAGGTGTTCACTGAGGCAGGCGTTTCCAATGGCAAATTGCCTGAGCATGCACTTGCAGAGGCCTGGGGGCTTTGTGCGCAGTTGGCACAAGAATTGGAATGGAACCAAACAAGCAGCTTTTTAGGCTTGCAGTGGCTACATTTAAGCTCTATGTGGTTTTATTTGTTCATATTTGTTCGGTCGAGCTTGAAGAGCTGGACAGAGATACTACAAGCAAGGACCTCTCGGATTGCGAGCCGGTCAAGTTTGATGCAACTCTTGATGATGAGGAGAAAATTCATGAAATCAACATTTGAAGAGGTTTCGTTGTGTGTGGTTGCTCCGTGTCAACATGATTTGCCCATGTTTGTTTCCCACACTTATGATATGTGTGCCTTTGCCCACACTTATTAATATACTGTAACTGCAAGTTTACAGGACGCTTTTTGGTTGTGCAGGCTTTGTACGGACACACGACAAATCTGCAACCAGTGTCTAGTATTCAGAGATTTGTGAGCAGGAACATGACCCACACGAAGAGATGGAGGAAGAGGAGTTCAATCCGGATCCAGACGAACAAAGGCTGTGGCTGGAACTTGCTGCCGACACAAGTCACAATCAATGTGAATCAGATGAGGTTATGGAAGTGGCATGTGCAAGGATAGGAAGCAACAGTGCATAGACACATAAATAAAGAATCGTTTGTGGTTCAGCACAGCTTTGTTGCTCATGCAAAAGACATAGGATACACCCAGGTAAACAGGTTCAAACAAGCTCCTTGATGCCCGATCGAGCGGAGGCCTGACAATTTGTTTGTGCTGCGGGAATTCCAGTGTGGGAGCGACTCCGAGCAGTCTGTGAAAGAGGTGAAACTTGAGGAGGACCCTGAAATTCCCAGCACACAGTTGACATCTCCCTCATGACAAGAAGTGAACAACACTGTTGGAGAATAGCGAATATATATGTGTGTGTGTGTGTTGTGGAATAGATGAGATGACTGGATACAACGACGAGATTGCTCAGTACAAGAGTATCCGCCAACGTCGAGCTGCGAGCCGCTTGCGCGCAACCCACCGCGCACATGCGTGCAGACGCACATACTGGAGCATGTGCCGCTTTAGCACATGTGAGAATTAGAGCTGAACGGAGCATTTCTGCAGCAGGATGCAGAGAGATAATTGCACAGTTTAGAGTTTAGACCAAACATTCAACGTTGTTGCAAAACAAGCCGGGCTCGATGCGTGCGCCAGTAGAGCAAGCTGGAGGTCCACGCACCCAACCAAACTCACCCAGCGGTCTTTGCCCCTCACCTTTGATCCGCTCAACCGTTCCATTTGTTTGCAGTTTGTTGGCCACTCTGCAAACTTGTGCAACTGCTGAGTTTCATTGTGCAGGAGCCAGACACAAAGTTGGAGCAGCTCGACAGGATGATGGCATTATCAAAAGCTGGTCGCCCTGGAAAGTCCTTAGTTGATTGGAAGCCCAGGACTGAAAAAAAAACATATTAGTATATGATACCTATGTAAGTAATAACACCCACCTTTCTGCAGTACAAGATGAGACGACAGATGATATATTGTTTAGTATAAACAGGCAAGATCTCTCTTGTACAATTACACCATTCTTTATATCAAGGCTCCTCATTCCTAAAGTTCATAATGATAATGTGTGCAAAAGCTCAATTATCCTTGTAAGAGTCTATTCTATTCTCAAGTTTATTCCTTTCTCACATCATCCAATTATGTTGACAACATGTATGCAAACATATGGCAATTTCTCAATGCTGCATACATTTCATGGTGTTGAATCATGTTGAATCCAGATTCAGTTACATGGTTTGACTCAGAGCGCTTGGCAATTCCCTACAGTGCCACAAGATTTGCATTGCTTCTGCAAAAGTACTGTGCCTGCCAAAATTTCTTTAAAGAATCAACCCATCATATGATCCTGCAAAGTATCGCCTTCCAGCACCCTTTCTATTGCCCTTCATGGCCCAGTAAATCTTGACAGGCACTGCGCGCGGCATGCGCGGAATCTCAAACTCTGAAACTCGATAAACACAAAACAACAACAATGTGCCTCTGCCTGCTGAGAAGTAAGGGACAACATGTTGGTTCCCAAAACAGCAACGAAATACCAGATACCAGCGCTCTGCATCATTCGGCTTCGCTGTACAAAAGAAAGCGGGGCATAGCGCAGTTTCCTGATGGGCGCATGTGCTTTGGTGAGTCTGATATAACGGTAACGGTGACTCCATTCAGATTTTCCCCGTGAGGTGATAAGCCGATAAGCCCGCCAACCAGCAGGAAGGAGATTGTGTATGTCATTTGCGTCACAAGACTGTCCTACAAGACTGTTGTACAAGAGTGGTTTACAAGAGTGTCCCAGAAGGGTGTCCCACAACACTGTCCAATGAGAGATTGTAGAAGAGTGTCAACGAATGCCACGCGAGACGCGAGAGTGTTAAACATACATGTGTGCATGTGGGTTCGTGGGTTCTACGTGTTTCTACCAGGTTCTTATAAGCGCATGCATTTGCTTATAGGCAGCCTGAGGTTAAAGAGGACAAACCAAGACCAGACCATTGAGGGCCCGGAAAAACATCGCGAGGGGAACCCAAAAAGAAACAGTGCGGTTTTCAAGTTCATCCGCAGACTAAACAAATCTGCAACTTCGGAACAAAATCAATAAGGTTTTGCAACCCTTCATTGGTTTTGATGTGTTTGTTGTTTAATGTTGCTTTTTTTGTTGATTGGTTTGGTCCATAGATGGACCTATAAACTTTGTTTGGTATTTTAAAAGAAAAAGATGCAGCCGAGGCGCATCAATTCAATACTCTGGATGCTTACGCAAATTTCAAATGTGCTTTAATTCAATGGGACGTAGGTGACTCTTAGGTGACCATGTGTGGACTTTTGATGTCGAGTTGCCCAAACATGTTGCTCTGGCCTGTCCTTCGGGTGCCAAAGTGGCCCTTTGCTTCTACTAGCTTCTTGTTCCTGGTAGTAAGGCCAGGAGCCCCTAGTAGCGTCC